GCCCCCGGGCCGCAACCTCCGAGGCCGTGAAGCCGCGCAGCGCTGGGCGCCTGGGCGGCCCCTTGTGCAGCATCCCCGCGTCTGGCACTCGCTTGTAGTTTCAGAGGGGTTTTCTTCATTCCTTTTAGGATGCCGAAGATCGTGTTACTGAACCAAGGGAATGGAGACCACTTATTTACAGAAAGTGCACAGACCTTCTCTGGCTGTTTCTCTTCTTTATTTTCTGGGCTGGCCTGGTAAGCATATTTTCCCTCAAAAGAGAGATGGAATTCAGAGTTAAGACAAGGCACTCTGCGCTACGGTGTGTTAAATCTAGGGTGAAATAACTATGGGCACAGACAGTAGAGGGCCAGGATTGTACTAGAGCAGAACTGGCAGATCTTGCAAGGCTCCGTTGCAGTGTGTGCTATGTGCGTTGCAACTTCTGGCTGAATACTTCAGCTTTCATGTATATACAGAACTGGAATTTACTTTTGGAGTTTACTTTTCTGCAGATAAATTAATCTGCCAATATGCCAATGTCCTTACTTCACACCACCAGCTTTCTTCTCCCAAGACATTGTTTAGCACACACAATCTGAACTCTTTATCAATTACAGAATAGTTTGTTTCTTTCTGGGTATTGCAAATGTGGCATAATGCTTAGCTTTTACTTTTTCTTCATTTGGATATAGACACCTAAAGAAACAGCAGCTTCAATAGACCAAGAAAGGATTTGTGCTTGAAGTCCCTTCAAGCGCTACCTCTAAAATGTAGGTTCCTGGACCTCCCCGCAGCAACTGGAATAGTGAAGTAAAAGCACTAAAATAATAAAGCAGTTGTGCTGAATCTGATACATGCAGTCTCTCTCCAGCACTTTTGATAATTCAGTTACTCCTTGCAAAGCAGTAATAGTTCAAGTGGGACTGAGACTTGCTGTTGCCAGCAGTTGGCATGTAGCCAAGAGCCTCATATTGTTCTTTGTGTGTGTGAAATGTGGTTCACACCTCATGAAACAGAAGAGGGGACTGAATCACCAAGTTCTTTGACACCTGGAGTGCTATGAATAAAGTGTTAGGTAAAGTAGTGCTAAATGTTTCACAAACTTCACAGAAAATGACTTACTGCTGCTTGGAAAGGTTCTTTTCAAGCAGCTTTTTTTGGCCCATCATGGTGGGCAGGAGCAGGACTTAAGCTGGACTCCTGTATAGTGCTTTTCGTTGACCAAGGGGTGTGCCCTAGTCAGTGAGAGGAGGCACTTTGCTGCCCCTGAGGCTTACTGAGACCTGACCCTCAGTGGTGGCAATTTCATGAGGCAGCAGAGCATCCAAAAGCTCAGTGTAAGGACACCTAAATCTATCTCGCTTCGTTTTTTTTTTCCACTCCTGTTAAAGAGTGCATCTTCCTGAAATTTGAGATAACTAGATTTTAACTATATGTTACATGTTTAAAATATGCATCTTATTAAATTCAGTAACACCTGCAAGAACTCAACGTTTCTGCAGACATATTGGCCAGGAATAACAGGGGTACCCCAAAAAACGAGGAGCTGGCAGTTAGTGGCCAGAGTTTTCTGAAAACTGTGGGTTGAGTGACCTTGCTTGTGACACACAGAAATTCTGGTTTGCTTGATACCTTACTGTTTCTTTCCAATTGTTTTAATCGCAAGCCCTATCTTTCTTCTGCTCTGGTATTCCACTTAATTATATACTTTCATAATTAATTATATATTTATTGAAATATATAACATATATACTTATATATATATATAGTTACATTAATTATATACTGCAAAAAATAAGGACAAGTTTTAAAGCGACAATAAGGCTTAACTGTTTCATATTGCTTGCTCTGGCCTTGTCCACAGAGGTGAATTCTAGATTTAACTGTTGGCTTTGACACAACAAAAATGCATGCGTTGAAAGAGAAATTCATGCAATGGGAGGCAAAAAATACAGTAGCACGATTTCACCAAAAAAAAAATGTCTTAATAGATGTTTATAGCTGGCTATGCTGTGGTGGCTGGTGCTGCAGAAAGACTCATGCTTGGATACGACAGCTTTGGGAACATATGTGGTAGGAAGAACTCTCCTGTAATAGGAGCACCCCTTTCTGGACAGGACATGACTAATAAAAAGTAAGTACACCAGATAATGCCTAAATAAAGTAAGTGTTTGAAATCTGATAGGATATTCATCTTCTAGTTCTCAAGCATATACATACTTTTTTTAAAAAAAAAGTTTTTTTTTTTCTTTCTAGGTATGTATTTTTTCTTAATTCATGCAACCTGGAAATGCAGAACCTTGAAATCAGTTCGGTTTCCTTGTGTGTGTCTAGTTGTCCACAAGAGCAACTCAACTCTTTGGAAGACCTCCAGGGTTTTGCCAGGATCAATGGTATGCCACAGAGAGTCTCAATATCTCAATATATCTGTAGAATAGCTGAGCAGCTTTCACTTTATTACTGATATGCCTTTTAGACTGGGGAGTTATTTCTCACCCTTAGTTTCCATAATGACAGAAATGAAGACTTCTTTATGACCTATTTCAAAGCCACAGTTTTCAGAAATCTTACAGCTTTCTTCTGTAAATTCAGAAGTTGTTGATTCATTCCTGCCCAGTGCTGATTATCCAGCTGAGACTAGCCACTGAAAATGCACTAGTGCAGTTTGTTGAAGGTGCTAGGAGGTGGGTCCAACTACTGCTATTAAATTGATTTAAAACTATGATGGGATTAGTAATTCCAGAGATATACAAAAGTTGTTATCCCTTTAGAAATCAGAGCCCAAAGTTTTCCACTATTCCATTTTTTTTTAATCTGCTGTTCAAAATGAACACAATGTCAGAAGTAATTATTTTGCAAAAGGGGCAGCTCCAGCTCATTCATTTCTAACAAAGAGATAAACTGTGGCCTGACCCTTAATCTGTGGGATATGCATAAACCACAGACCTCACGACTATCACCATGTGTATTGGAGGTCAGAATGCCATTCCTTTTGGTTTTCTTGTTTTGTTTGGCAAGAACTGCTATTTAAAATGACAGCATTTGTTTAAATTTCACTTTGAAATATTTTACTATCATCTGGTTTGTACAGTACACTGTTCAACAGCTGTGATATTACTGTAATTTCAGTGCAGCTGAATGAAATTACATGAAATTCCATCCCCACACTAAAAATGCTCACATGTTTATATATTGAGATGGCAGTGTTGCATTCTGAACAGCTTGAATGCATCCAAACATTCCTTTCTTGGAAGCATTGTATAATAAAGCAGCATATTTTTAGGCACCTGGTAATACTTGGCCCAGAAAATATTTAGCTTCTTGATAGATACACGTTCTATTCTGGATTGTGGAGGGCCTAGCTGTGTTGAAGCTTCAGTCATTAAAGGCTTTTCACTGCCTCATCTCTATCAGCTTAGACCTGGAGAGTAGCACTATGTAACAAATAGTGTACTTGCTGTCCAAGAAGATCAGTAACTGGGAGTTTTAGTGAAGTCTAGCTAACTAAATTCACCAGAGGTTGCTTTAGATTTGCTCATTAATTAATTTGTTATTTACACTCCCACTAGAATATTAGTAATGGATATGATCTGCTAAGGGATCAAAGCAGAAGTGAAACCCAGACTTACTTAAAGAGTTTTTTTTTTCCCAACCAGACTTTAACTAATATTAAACTACCACTGGATATATTTTCTTAATTTCTTAGGTTCTTCTCTCTGTGTTTATAACCTGAATGTTTCCAGTTACACACTAAATCCAAAGGCATCTGAGCTGTGTCCCACACTGCCAGTTCCACCAAGGTAAGAATTACTTGGTGCTTTAACACACCCTCGAGTCAAAACAGTTTCTTAAAAATTATCAGTTCGTCATGTTTTGTATTTGACTTGATGCTTCACAAACCAGATGTTTTTGCTTGTTTATTTTTGCACATATCTCATTATGCATTTTTGTCTGCATGCATGTGAACACTGTTTCCTGTCCCACAATATGAAGGAGAACTCTGTTCTTCCACCTGTTAGAGATTTTCCTCACCAAATCTGGGGCAAAGCCCTTATTTTGTGCTCAACATGTATAACAACTTATCTACCTACAAGGTCTTTTGCACAGACTATTGCTCAGTCCCTCAGGGCCAAGGAAAGGGTGCTGTGCATCAGTCTTTGCATATTATCCTACATCCAGAAATTTTCAGTTCACACCCAGCTGGCTTGAATCACATGTCTATGGAAGGCAGTGAACAGATGGACTACCTTTAATGTTTGACAGCACATGAAGTCTGGATATTGGTTTAGTGGTTTTTTTTTTTTTTTCTTCCCCGTTTACAAATTTGAGAGTCAAAATCCTTAAGCTCCAGGTCAATTTAAATTCTACCATTTCATGAAAATACAGCAAATTGGAATCTCCATGCTTGCAGAGCTGATTCATTTACTGCTCTGAATATTAGAAAATAGAAGGAAAAAAAAAAAGAGCAGGAGATACATCAAAGCATTATTTAAAGTGGATCAAAGGAAGGCATGTAAACTGATGAAAGATAAGGCATGTTTTGCTTCTTTCTTAATCATGTGATTTTTTTTCTGTTTGTTTTAAAAAAAAACACCAAAGTAATTTTGCATTTACAATTTATGTTACATTTCCCAGTAGAAGTAAAGCTAGTCAGAGAAGTATTAATATGCTGATGAACTGATTTATACCTAAGTTTGAAGGTGTTCTGGAGCTGCAGAGTAGCATTGCCAAAGAGAGACAATAAATATATTCAAGAAGCTTGGCTGGGAGTGCCAAATAACTTTGTATGTAATCTTTGCTGGGGTTAATTGTACCTTATAAACATTGTTTTGATGTAGCCTTTAGTATGTTTAAATATCCTAAAAATATGCAAAGTTTTCGTGGTTTAGAATTACCTTCAACCTAGCTTACAGCTATGCTATCATGAGTTTGGCTTTTCCGTAAACACGTGGGAGAAGAGTAGATGAAGCCACCCTAGTAATGGAACAGCAGCTGGTTGGTAACTGAGCTCAATTGATAACTGAGACAGTAGTGCACTTTTTCTTTCCCAGGCTGGTATTGCATGGATGCAGCACTATGATACAGACAGGATGCTGCTAGCAGTGCATTTTTCAGATGCAAAATAAAACTAGCTGACCATTTGTAACAGACTGCTCCAATTCCCAGTGTCCTGTTGTGTCACGCTCCATGCCTCCCCTATGTAGGAGGGTGCCCTCAAGGTTGTGGGTCACACTGGTCAGCTGGTGCTGCAAAACTGTGTTGAGGGTGCTGGGGGCTTTGAACTAGAGCACTGGAACTGATCCCCAGACAAACATCATAGTTCTGGGAATTAGTGTTTTTCACCATCTTTGTTTTTAACCTTCCAGTAAATCTTTTCCATTATTTAATCGATGTGTTCCACAAAATCCTGAATGCTATTCCAAGTATGCCTCTGCCTTAATAAATGTGGTTAATGAAATGGATGCTCTTCATCGTATTCTGGCTGGAATATTGGCAGGAAGAGACACTGTAATAGGATTGAGTGTTCTTTCACTAGGTAAGGTTATAAATCAATAATGATCAATAATGTCCAATTAAAATGTGAAGTTTTGAATGTTTCTTTTTTATTATTCTTAAATTAAAAGTACTAATCTTTTTCACATTTTCAGACATAATTGTTTTTTTAAAAAATATATATGTTATCAGAAGACTCTTAATAGATTAAATGTGGGCTTTAAGATATCAAACTGAGTTCTTAAATACAGTCCATCAGTACCTCTTTTCAGGGGACTGTTAGAAACTATCAATGAAAAATGATAGCATCAGCATTAGCATTGAAAACTAATGATTCCCAAGCTGAAGTATTTCAGTTATTAGTTTGTTATTAGTAAATTATAGATTACTATGTATTGTAAGTGTAAAAATACTGCCAGTTTTACTAAATTTTCTTGCTTTTGAGTTCACCATTAAAAACAAAACAAAACAAATTCTGTAAAACTCTATATAATACCCTTGTAACATTCATAACAACCTTACTTTGTATATTTTTCAGCCTTTTCTTTTATAGTCGTTTTAACCTTCACATTCATTCGTGCACTTCTGATCCACACTTTGATTGCTCTGGTTGTGTTCGGGTTGCTGTGTAAGTATATTTAGTTTTTAGCATGTGCATAGTTAAATGCATCATTTCACTGAGCTTAAGGAAAGGCAGCTGAACAAACAGCAAACGTGTTTCTCCATAGCCATCCTCAGTAAGGTTAATAGAGCCATTTCCAAGCAGAACCTGCCTGCCTGTATGTGCCAGATCTGGCTGTGGTGTTCCAGCTGTGGAGCGTTGGGATGATGATGAGTTTTAATTATTTATGGATTCTAGGAAATTGTGTTTCTTTTGGCAGATGAATGCACTTATGAAAATGCTACTATTTGAAAGAAACTTTAACAAAGTTTAACATTGCCTATTTTAGAAAGAGAGAACTGCAAAAATGTGTCTAGCTAAAGTCTGACATTCCTTAAAAGTTATGCTTCTTGCCTCCTGAATGAAATGACATGCTTTAGTTGTCGGAAGACAGCAAGAAAACCAAACTTTCTGTTGCATTTTTACTCAGACTAACAGACTGTCACTGATCTGTAGCTCCCTGTTACACTACAGCATTCCTCAGCTGAACTTGTGTTAGGAAGAAGGGTGGCAGAATCATGAGGTATCAAGCAGACATCAGCCTACCAACAATATAGTTGTGCTGCAACCTGTGGCGTACGCTGGCCTTCATCCCAATCTGTGTTTGCTGCAGTTGTCTCAGGTGTTCTTTGGTGGCTCTACTATGACTACAGGAATGACCCCAGCACTGAATTGGAAACTGAAAAAGAAAATATAAAATTTCTGCTTGGATATGCTATCTTCTCTACAATAGTTACAGTAAGTAGCATTTTGCAGTAAGCAATGACAACTAGAGGCTTTAACTAAAAAACTTGGACTGTGGGGGTTATGCAACAATTAAAATACTTCTGCTTCCTCATTCCTTTCAAATTTGAAGTGGTGAAAGAATGAAAAGCTCTGCTTATGTGCATTTAAATGGTTTTGTGTCATCATTGTGAAATTCATGTGTCAGGACATGGCTTTTTGCCACACTGAAACTCTGTACAAACACTGTTAGCGCTGTTATTGTAGAAATGCAGGAATTAAGCTCCATCCTCATTCTTCCCAGCATCAGCTAACTGGAAAATCATGTTGAGTGAACAGAGAGGCACTGGCTGCATATGAATATGAGATCTGTGGATTGAGCCTACTCTGTGAGTAGTATAAAGGGTTGGCACCTTATTTAGACTATAAAAAGGGAAGCTTAGATAGCAGGTTAGTGTTTAGGCCTCAAGTTACAAATTCTGCTTTTCTTTCATTGATCTCTTATTTCCCATCAGGAAACCTGACTGTGACTTACCATTTTTAAAGTGATTTTTTTTTTCATTCTTATTTTGCAGTGTTAAAAGTGAATTGCCCAATACAAGTGTGCTAAAAATTGTCAATTGTTCATGAATTGTCAAAATCATGCTACTGTTGTCCTTAAAACAATTTAGGATGGGGTTCACCCAAAATGAACAGTTTGACAATTTAGTGACAAATACAAATGTGTAACATTTTTTTTTTTTCCATAACCTAGTAAGTTATGAACAATGGCTTTTTACTAAATTAAAGAATAAGCTCATTTGTAACTATGTTCATTCCAGTACCTTTCACTGTCATTTGCAGAGCTCAAAGCATCCACTACTGCAGGTTACTCTTCTCCTAAGACCAGATTGCTTCTTTGTAGAGCAGGCAAAAAATGTGGAGGACCAGCTGTTACAGAATTTATTTTTTGTTTTATAAATTCATACTTCTTTGTAAAAGATAGAGCGGATAGGACCTTGTAGATTTGCCTTCATTTTATTTTTTTCTTTGTGAAGAAAAGGAAGTTTCATTTTATGTATGCTTGGTCTTCGTACATACACCACTGTCAAGTCAGTGTATGTTTGCTGCTGTCCTTTCTGGAGAAAAGGACCAGTCCTTCTCCCATTCTGAACCGTGGCAAGCTGACATAGTAGGAAGGAGCTGTATGAAAGCCCTGTATATGCAACATACCTTTGTGCATTAAAGCAAAAGGGCTGTTTGCGTTACGTGAGTCATGGTATCATGAATCCTATTTTTTTTTTTAAAGGAACAGTAGCAACATGATTTCATAAAATGAGATTTTAAACTACAAGCTCTTTGAGAAAGTAAACGGTGTCTTAGAAAGCATTTCTAGTGTACAGTAAGGTCACATAAAAAGCTTTGTTGTAATGTCTTTGTGAAATCCATATCCTTTGACCCTGTATTTGACAACCTTAATAGTTTTTTTTTCTTTTTTTTCTTAAAAAAGTATTTTTTTCTCTCCTGCAACAGGTTGTTCTGCTTTTTCTCATACTTGTTCTAAGAAAGAGACTTCAGTTCACAGTACAGCTGTTCCAGATGGTTAACAAAATGATCAGCAGAATTCCTTTCCTCTTATTCCAACCACTTTGGAGCTTTCTCATTCTCATGGTCTTCTGGGTATTTTGGGTTGCTGTGCTACTTAGCTTGGGAACTGCAGGTAAATATATACTTTCCATGGTATGGAATGAATGACAGTAGTTTCCTAAGTTCACTTTTTAAATGTGAGACCTTATGGCTATCACTGTTGTAGAGCTGTGTAGAGTTGTGTTGCCCTTTTCTTTTGTGTTCTGTGTTCCTTCACATTTTTTTTTGATTGTTCCCCTGAAACTGTATTGTGTTTTGTGGCCTAACCTGGTGCTGTCATTTTGTCTCGTCCTTCCACCACTCCTTGGGCTGCAGGAACTCACCTGTACAGGCCTACAGGTCCCTCCTAGACCAGAAAAGCCTCCAGCTTCTCCATAGCTAAGCCCATGTGAGAAAACTGTCTCTGTAGGCCCAATACCTCATCGCCATCCCTCAATTGCTGCAATATCAGCTTTGTTCCATTAATTCTGGCTGTATATATATCTCGCTTCACTTGTAATGTGTGAGAATGCCTGTGTCCATGCTGGTATTGCAAGCCAGTCACCCATTGCTTAGGCTGGAAAAGGTTTGTTTCTCTCCAGCCGAAGCTGGATTTCTGGTTTACAAGGGTCTCCCTCTTTCTACTACAGCAGCTGATGTCTGTCAGAAATGCCTGCTTGAAGCACCTGCTTGGTTGATAATCTGTGCCCCCTGCAAAATGTCAGACCCAGAGGAGCCAGATGTTCAATCTGCAGTCTCTCTTGAGTTGTTCCTAGGTGAATAAGTAGTCAGATTCATTTTATTTTAAGGATGTCATGAATATTTCTTCTCCAAAGTCTTCTTAGTTAGACTTTTCCTTCACAGAGACATTATTACATGCCAGATACAGCTTTATGTGGCTCTTAGCTTTTCCACAAAAACCTTCATCCCGTTTATGTACATATCAACCAGACAAGCAATAATTTTCAAACTGGCCTTGTGGGTCATCTCATCACCAGTTCAGTCTGGTCTTTTACTGAAAGTAGCATCTCCTGAGCTATCAACCAACTGTTCATTTTTAGGCCGAGTTACAGAATTGCTTTTCATGCACCTGCCTGGATCAGGGACAATTTAAGTAGTTAACACCAGGTACATAGATCAGACAATAAGTGATAATAGGTAAATAAAGTGAGTGACAGCACACAGATTTGCTAAATATATATTTACCAAGAAATACTAGCAAGAAATAATGTATTCTTGATTTTAAACTGAGCTAGCACATCACCCATAGGAATTTACTGCAGTACTTTAACATGAAAATGTGTGTTTCTAAATTTAGAAAATATCAGCTGAGTCTGCATAGTCAAAAGCTTTTAGTAATGCAGCAATCATTAGAAGATATGTTATAGCTATAAGACAGAAACAGCTTGGTGATAAAAGTGCAGGGTGGGGAAATAGCCAGATATATTCTGGATGCAACAGGGCTTTGCATGAAGGTAGTGAATTGCACATTATATCCCGAAGTAAATTCTACATGTATTCACAGGGAAATAAAATCCAATGGAAACTATCCGTGAGGGGCTTTTAATGTTTTCTTCCACGTTGTGCTGTTTTCTCTCATTGGTTATGCTCTCTGTTTCCACTCAGCAGTTTTTTTTTCTGCTGACTTGGAGGATAGAATTCAAGCAGGTTGTGACCTTCTGTGACATTTATAGTGCAGCAGACCTCCCCTGGCTCAAAACTATTTTATTTTTGTCTTTACCCTAGCATAGATGAGAAGACAAATGTTTCCCAAGAGTTCTTTTCCAAAGTGCCAGAACCAAGATGGTACAGAAGGCAGCACAACCTTTCCACATAGCAGAGCAAGGCTAACGTTTCTAGGGTGCGCTCAGTTGTGAAAGAATTGATTTCTTGTGGATTTAGCATAGGAAGGAAAAGTCATTTCCAGGCACCTGTAACTATCAGTATATTGTTATGTGAGGAATGTAGGTATGTTTTTGCTGAGATCTTTTGCCAAGGTATTTCTAGTGTAGATATTTTTAAGATTTTTATAAAATTTTACTTTTTAGCAGTTAGGGTGCTGGTATGTAGGAGAGAATTTGCATTTAATAAATGGTACCAAATTTAAGTATCAGTGCAGGTAGAAAATGCCACTGTCTGGCACTCGGCTCATTTTTCTGATGAAAATTTCCATTGATTTCGTTATTTGTATTAACAATTCTTCTTGTTAAGTTGCCTGCATCAAATGGTGGCAGTTGCTACCCAAGAAGCACCAACCACTAGCAAAGCCCAGAGGTGGAGGCAGCAGCGTAAGGATGGAACGGGTACCGTGCAGCAGCATCTGCGCCCGCTAGGTGCCGATAAAGCAGCTTGAGAAAGTCTGCCCGGACCTGCTTGGTTGTTGACAGTGCTATCACTACAGAAAACTTCTCATGGGAGGAGTTTGAACACAGTAAAGGCAATTTTAGCCTTTTAATCACTAATTTAACCTTTTAACATGGTGAGGTAACGAAGGATGGTTCTATGTAGCCCGCAGATTGAGGTGTCACAGGAGCTTGGTATCGGCAAGCGTATGGTAGTTGTTCTACCTGGTAAACAACAGCTCATGTTTTCTGTAGTTCAAAACTAGGACAAATAAAGGATAGGCTAGAGTCGACATTAAGAATATTCTTTTAAATGTAATATCTAGCTTTCAACCGAGATTTGAGTCCTCTGAAATTTTGGCTGTTGTTAAGTTGATTCACAGGGGATTGGTACATGACAGGTTATTTTGCTGTTTTGGAATGACTAGTACTTTGTGATTCTTTATAAAAAATAGTGCTATCTAATTTATAATGTGCTGGCAGAACAGCTTTGTATTTTCCACTCCTTCTCCAGAATCAAATGATTCCATATATGGAAGATATTTCTTCTGCTTTTTGAGTTTTGGAGACTTTTTGCAAATGGTGATAGTACTTCTCTGAATTCCCAAGATAAGCTCACTTAGAGCAATGTTTTCTCTCTTGTCCAATAGTTTCCTAGCCAGAATTCAGTTCAAAAAATAGGAATCTTTATTCTTGTTTTTGTTACTTTGATCTCCTGTTCTAACAAATATGTTTTCTGGTGCTGCACCTGTTCTTAACATTTTCCTTAAACCTCCTGTAGCTTTATAATACTTATGGTGTCTGTGCATCCTACAGCTCTGAAGCATTTAATCCTCGCTTCAGCTGTGATGCACCTGATCTTTATGTGGCTGCACAGACCTTGTTTATGTCTTTTCCACAAGTTAATGCTACTCTGGGAAGAGACTGATTTCTTCAGAGCCACAGAAAGCTATTGCCCCACTTGGAAAGGTATTTATGCACAACTAGCTTGAAGCACATGTATAATCCCATTAAAGAGACTGTTTATGGATTTTAAGGTAGGCACCTGCTTAAGTACCTTGGTAATTCAGCGTGTAAAGAAGTAACACAGACTGAGTGAATTCCTAACCTAGAAAAGTAGGAGAAATGCCAGACCCCAAAACACTTGAGACAGCACAAGCAGTGGCACTAGCTAGAACGATTAGCTGGACAGGAGTGGAATTCAACTGTGCTTTGGAAAAGCTGTTATGTCCTAGGGTTATTGAGTCTTATTATTTGCTACTTGGTGTGGCATTTTACTACAGAACTGAAGCAACCATGTGGCACAGCAAAATGTGTTCTTTCAACTTCACAGCATGCAGAGGCTGTGAAATCCACGTGCTGTAAGTGCTGGGCAAGTAACGTAGGATGAGATGGCAGTGTGTGATTTTCATGTAATGAAGGTGCATCCTATGGGAAAGTGAGCAATAAAACTGCCATATAAAGTTGTGCAGTGGCTGAGCGAGTAGTAAAAACATGTTTCCTGCAGGATTCTTGACATTCTAATTACAGTCAGCTAGCGTCACTGTCACTTATGCATGGAAAAAAGATAGATAAAATAATACAATAAACTCTGTGGGGGAAGCATAAAGATTCAGTGTATGATGCCAGAATTTTCTTTTATTTAGTAGTGGGGAGTGTTAAATGCAGGTTGTATTAACAGGAGCTGGTGAATAGGTTCTCAGTATTTTCTAGTCCGTGGTTCTTTGTTTCTGATAAAAGAATATTTAAAATATCCTTCGCAGGAATTTTAGCCCATTGCAACAGCCTGCTGCCCGAGGTGTCAGCAAAAACTTGTGGTAGCTCTTGCCATATAAGAGCAAATGACATAAATCTGAAAGCCCCACACATAGCTAAGGATGTTGCTCACACACGCTTACTGCTAGGTCACTGCATTGCTGTGCTGCCTTGGGCAATGGCACAGCGCTGGGCTCAGGAGTCTGATGCAGAAATTTTTCAAAATTCTGCAAGCAGTTGTGTGACTACAATGTTAACAGCACTTCTTAGAAATGTTTGCAGCAAAACCTTGGTGCTCATCAGATTTTGTCAGATTTGATGATTCAGCCGTAGAGACTTTAGCTCTTTACTGACTTCCTGACGTTACCACGAAGCACCTGTAGTACACCAAAAAGATTCATTTTTGGAAATCTCTGCTGTGATTATGCAGTTGGAGGAGAAATGTTCTGTGGACAAAATAAAACCATATTTGGTGCTTAATTCAGGATGTTTAGTTTGCAAGAACAGATAGATCACAGTGGAGTGACAAGGAA